CAAATTGAAAATAACTTGAAGAAAGCTGAGAAAAAATTTATCAGGGAGAAGTATTACCACTGACGCATGGTTAAACATATTTTACTAGTAAAATCGGTTACTTTTTGAATAATTACATCCTGATGCATTTTTAGAACTAAAAAATGCATTTATAATTATGATTTCATGACACAACGTGTTAAAAGATTGCACAACATTTTTCCGCAAAAAATATAGAATTATAAATCATTCAGTAAAATATTTTTCAAATAAGGTATTCTTTATCTCATAAATTTCAAAGCCACATTTATTAGTAAAAGTAAAAATTACATTTAATGTATCATGATTAGTTTCCCTTCCATATTCACTAAAGTTAAAACATTTATTGTTATGCGTGATAGTAATATTGATACCGAGCTCTTTCGCTTTATAAGTTTAGCGTTTAGCACAATTTCAATATTTTCTACAAATACATGTCTTAAATCTAAGATTAGATTAGCTCTCTGAAAAATTTGGAGTCGAACATTTCAGCATTTATGGTTCGAAAAAGAAATTAAAATCGAAAAAAAAAATTTTTTTAAAACCGCAATGGAAAACGAACTTCTTTCGATGGTTTTCGAATAAATTGAGAGGCCTAAGTATGAAAAAGTAAATGGGTGTATGCAATTAAAAATGTCGTTAATAACAAAATTTACAAAACGCGACTGGTTGCATCTGGTTTTAATCAAATAAAAAATATTGATTATTCTGAATCATATTCACCGTGGTAAATATTGAATCATTCAGGTTATTATTTGCTTTAGCAGCAAAATTAGATTTATTTGTTAAATTTTTTGATATTAAAGCTACAGATTTATAGCGTGACTGATGAAACTGTAAAGATACCTCCGGGTTTTGAAGATAAATATGGTTAAAAATAAAGTTTGAAAATTAAATAAAAGTATACCTCAATCTGGTAGAAATCGGCATATAAAGTTAAAAAATGAACTTTAAAAAGATTGGTCTCACTCAACTTACATTTGATAATTGAGTATTTACTAAAATTAATGATTTTTTCGCAATTTGTGTATACGTAGATGATTTAACATGACTATCTTTTGAACCGCTCAAATATTTCAAAACTTTAAGCGAAAACATAATGACTTTTTTTCGGGAAGTTCATGAAATTGTGATAAATAACTTGTTACATAAGCAATAATCTGGTCGGGTTCTATTCGCTAAATCTAAAAGTTCGCCGACCATTTCCTGATAATCCTTCTGATCTACTTAATTATCAGTAGGTTTAAAACACAGGGTGCGCAGCCAAATCTTTGAGTCAAAAATAAGCACTTTTTAAAAACTTTTCAAGCACTTTACAAAAATTTTCAAGCACTCAAAAAATTCATATTCAATCAATGATATTATTGAAAAACAAAAACTTTTTATAAAGAGTTTTAGCGTTAAAAAAAACCCAAAAAGAAACGGACGCAAATCAAAACAATCAGTACTTTCCTACATCACCGAGAGAATTCAACTTGACCCTGAACTCAGAACAAAACTACCCCTACGTCAAAAAAGTGTTAGAAGTAAAATAAAATAAACAAGAATAAAATAAAATTAAATTAAAAAGAAAAACATTTCATAAGGATCTGATATTCTCTATCCGAATTGGAGCACTCGGGTTTCGGTTTTATGTGTACGCGCATGCGCAAGTCATAACGTGGGTACGACATGAAGTCCGCGTGAATGATTACGTAGCAAACACCCCAATTTTTCATGAAATGCATGGGATCCACCAGATATCACTGAAGAAAAAAAAATTAATTTGTGGTAAAAAAGCACTTTTTAAAAACACCAGCTGAAAAAAGCACCTTTAAAAGCTTTTAAAAACGAAATCCCCAAAAAAGCACCTTTAAATATTTTTTACAAACGCTACACACCCTGAAACATCTATCTTCATCTTTAGTTTTCTGGGAGTATTTGTTTTCTCTAATAATTTTCCAAATCATAATTTTTCAAAAAAGATTCAATTTAATGAGTTTGGGATAAACAAATTCCTTTTTCTTTTTGTAAAATCTCAATGAAAAAATTTTAAATCATTAGTTTTTTCTTTTAATTCAAATGTTTGATTTAGTTTTGAAATGATATCCTCGTATCATTTCGAATTATTAGAAATTCCAATCAGGTGAAGCGGGTTCGAATCCTAGCAATGGTGGGTCGATATGCATCCGGCTTGCACCGACCACAGCGCTATCCTTAGTGGTAGACGAATATCATGTGTGAGAGTCCCTTTGCCGTCAAGATAACCGTGGAAGATTTTTCGTGGTTTTCCTCACCATGTAACGCAAATGCGGTTAGTTCCATCAAAAAGTCCTCCAAGAAGGCAAATTTCTCCAAATACTAGATCCGGGAGCTCCTTTGTCTTCTGTATTGTGTTCAAAATGACAAGGCTATGGTGTTGAACGTTAGTAGTTGCAAATCTAAAAAATTAGGTCGGCTGTTCAACGACGGTTATTAAATAAAATATATGAAAACAGAAACGCAAATGAAATGGAGTTGATCGTCTGAGCTGATGAGGAGATTATATCTTTTCATTATTTTGTTTTCCGGTTTTTTAATATCATATATATATATATACATATATATATATGGGTGATTCTTTGGAAACATGATTTCATGACAATTTCCTCTTTAAAATAATCTAATTTTTTTTTGTATATTTATTAAGTTACATTTATTAATATCTTACAGACAGCAGTGTAGTTTATTGACATTTGTTCAAGAAAAAAATAAAACGGAAATTCACCAAATTTTGAATGCCAGGAAAATGACATATTAGCCTAGAAGTTAAAAAAAGTCATTTTAAGCTAATAGTAAGTAACTCAACTTAAGCCTTTGTGGGAGATGGATCATGAATTGCTTAAATTAATTCTTTTATTCACTGTAGAAAGAATCAAAAATGTTTTTGTTGCTGATATGTACAAAATAAAATTGTGTATAATAATCAATCATTAACTAAAAAAAAAAATAACTTTGATTACATTCAAGCATATTACAATCTTACATAAACTTGGTATTAGGTTAATATTTGCTTTCTCTCTTTACATTCAACTGTTTAAATATACTAGTGATTCGGTATTTAATATTTCTAGTGGTAGTTACGTCACAAATCTTTATAAAAAAAAATTCTTTGAAAAATTAACCAAAGGTTAACTTTGTTTTTCTTGAAACAAATTTTAACTTATAGTGTCAAATTTTGTTGCACTTAAACTGATGTGATATTTGCCATTGGAATTTCAAAATTACAACTTTGGTGTTCGTCTGTCTCTTCAAAATTTTCTATCAATGTTATTTGATCAAATTTGTAGACATTTCATTAAGTATTAAGCAGGTTATCATAAGCAATATATATCATAAATTGAATGCTAAACAGTATTCAGTCTATTTATTTTGAGTACTGAGCACTAAACAGGTTCTGAATACTGAACAGATTGTCATAAGCTAAAGTACACTTGCTGCTGAGCCATGCTACCCTATTTTTATAATGCGAGACACTTTTTTTGACTTTTTTGAAACAAAAAATAATTCTTATTAAATAAACTGATTTAAATCATGATAAGTTTAATAATTGGAAAATGTGAATGAATACTCACTTATTAAATTTATTTAAATTGACTGGCAACTGCACTCAGATAAATAAGTATATTTAAAAGCAACCTGAGAAACAGCAATTCATTCTTAAAGTATTTTATATATTTTTTTCTTAAAAGAGTTATTAAAAGATTTTCGAAGAAACTAAAGTAAGACTTCTTTCCTCAACAAATATTTGCTAATCGCAGAATCAATAACTTCTTAGTTCATCTGATATATCTGAACATTTTACTGTTGTAATTTACATTGCTTATAGTTTTTATCTATTAGTATTTTTATGTATAGTTTTATAAATCTACATTAGTCTGGTTAGAGAATATCTAATATTTCCCAAAAATTACTTGATAACAATTGTAGTTAAATGATTTTCTATTACTGCAATGATGTGTTCAATTGTAATTGTATTTTATAAAAGGCCGTTTTAAATTTATTTTAAGGATAATAATATAACTTTCATAAACATTCTAATATAAGTGGATTAGTGAAAGGTGTATTTACAACAAATTAGCCAAATTTTTATCAAAAATGAAATTTCTTAAACAATCTATTTTAGAGAGTCTATAAAACCGTCAGCGTCTGCTATGGTACAAAAAAATAAATTTTATTTTTATGCTTACATATTTATATCTCACTATAAATATTGTATATGATAGTATTTATTCTTGAATACTTGAGGGGATATTCTCGTTAATTAAACTAACGGCTTTCTTTTTTTACCTTAAAATTGTTAATTGTTATTTATCTTCTTCATTTGTTTCTTAAATTAATATTTAGGCTTGATATAGATTTTATAATTTTCTAGTAGAAGTATTGTAGTTTAAAATTTTAGAAACAATTATATACAGTGTTATGGCTACACCAGCAAGACTATTCCAAGAGAAAAACAATTTTTTAAAAATTCAAATTCCTTTTCCAAAATTTAGTCCAGTTTTCATTCAGTTTTCCAAAAGGTGCTGTGGGCATGAAAATGTTTTTCAGCAGCACTGTATTTAATTTAATATTTTCTGCTTTTATGTTTTCCTTTAAATANATATATATATAGCAAAATAAATAAATACAAAAAAACACGAAGAAAATTAAGAAAAACAATAAGTTTCATTTATTGCGCATAAGCTGCAAGTAAATAGAACTCATTAAATAAGTTCAAAATGAAGATAAAACAAAGGAAAATTACAGACATATGAAAAAAGGGTGAAAGAGAAAAATAATAATAAAAATAACAAAAAACTGGAAAAAAATAATAAAAATCCGAAAAAAAAGGATAAAAAAAACGGAAAATAAAATATATGATTTTTTTATCAGCCCACACGATTATGTCTGCAAAAAAGAGTGCTTTATATATATCAACCAGGATCTTTATATGCACAGTATAAAAGAGTGAAATAATGTGATTTCTCATTTAAAATACAAATTTATTACATATTTACATGCTGATACAAGTAACACACACACTCATTCAAATGAAATGGTTTTAAATGCTTAAAAAAGATTCAATCAGTGACATATTTATATACATTGTTTGTAAATGCATCCTTCACAGCAAATTGTCCGGGACTCTAATGCCTTTGCTTTTGGTGGATTTCTTTGTAGGAGGTGACACTGTAATAAAAAATTGAACTTAGTTAATTAATATTGAACTCAGGATTCCTATTTCGTAAAACTAAAAGAGTTTCAGGGTGCATAGCCAAATCTTTCAACAAAAAATAAGCACCTTTTCAAGCACTCAAAAAATATTTTTAAGTGCTATAAACATTACAAAATGCCAAATGATTTTAACTAGTTTCTGACAAAGAACTGTTTTCTGGATTACATTAGTCATTATAAAATAATCAAGAGATTTTTCGATTCGATATCAGAGGTTGGAAAATGAAGCCGGAAATTGAGAATTTTATCTAGGGTGATTTTATACAAAACTTCAATTAATTAAGGGGAGACTACAACCCCTGTACTTTTTTTATTTTCTTAAATTCATTTTTCAAAATGAAAATTCTTTGAAAGCAACCAAGTTATTCAAACCTTTTTCAGCTATTAATCATACAAACAATTTTAATATACAGTGGTGGCCAAAAGTGTGGACATTTTTTTGAAAGTTTCATGTTTTGCAACTATGTGTGCTTGTAGAATATATTAATTTTCTCTTAAATACAAACGTTTAGATATCAAATTGAAGGTAATTTAATGTAAAATTTAATAATATACAGCATTACGATATCTGCATTACAAAAAAAGTTATGCAACTAATAGTAAGATCTATCTTAGATTTGCATTTTTTAAAAGTGATACTTACACAATCAATACTTAGTAGGATAATCCTTATCTTTTAAGACAGCTTCACAGTGTTTTTTCATCGAGTGAACGTGTGTTTGGAGTACATCTTTCGTAATCACATGATGCCAAGAATCAATTATAGCTTCAATAAGTTGTCTTTTATTGGATGGACGTTTTTTTCGTACAAGAATTTTCAAACGTCGCCACAAATTTTCAATTGGATTGAGATCAGGGCTATTTCCTGGCCATGGAACTAATTGGACATCTACAAAAAGAAGCTGAATTGTCATATTGGGAGAAACTGGCCTCTCTTATGCTGAAAATGCAAAGTTGGTGGTTCAGTGACTTGTTCTGGTGAATGAAAATTCTGTTTACGTTATGAAAACACGAAATCAATGGAAAATAAAGTCAAATCAGGTCGAAAAAATGCACAAGTGCTACTGCCGATAGAAAATTTAAACGGCTATGTCTTCAAGATAGAAAAATTTCATCAGATGCCATTAGATGTGAAATGAATGCAGCGGGTATTGCATTAAGTTCAAGAACAATAAGAAGAAGGTTATCAGGATTTGGACAACAAGATAGAATTCCAAGGAAAAAACCATATTTAAATTAAAAGCAAAGCGAAAAACGAGTTAAGTGGGCAAAAGAGCACAATAAATGGTCAGAAAATCAATGGAAGCAAGTAATCTGGAGCGATGAGAGTAAAATATCGCTCTTTGGTAGAGATGGTAGAAAATACGTGAGTCGTAGAGTAGGTGAAGCACTTCATCCTGATTGCATTGAAGCAACTACGAAAAACCCAACAAATTTCATGATTTGGGCATGCATGTCTGCAGATGGTGTGGGCCGAATTCAAGTGATTGGTGGCATCCTGAATGCCAAAAAATACATCGAAACTGTCCTGAAACCAAAATTGATACCTTCCATCAGGGATCTCTTCCCCAACAACGCACCATTTATTTTTCAGCAGGATTCAGCTCCATGCCACACAGCAAAAGTATGCAAAGTATGGTTTCAAAATAAAGCCATAGATATATCACCATGGCCAGGAAACAGCCCTGATCTCAATCCAATTGAAAATTTGTGGCGACGCTTGAAACTTCTTGTACGAAAAAAACGTCCATCCAATAAAAGACAACTTATTGAAGCTATAATTGATTCTTGGCACCATGTGATTACGAAAGATGAACTCCAAACACACGTTCACTGGATGAAAAAACGCTGTGAAGCTGTCTTAAAAAATAAGGGCTATCCTACTAAGTATTGATTGTGTAAGTATCACTTTAAAAAAATGCAAATCTAAGATGGATCTTACTATTAGTTGCATAACTTTTTTTGTAATATAGATATTTTAATACTATATTTACTATTAAATTCTACATTAAATTACCTTCAATTTGATATATAAACGTTTGTATTTAAGTGAAAATTAATATATTCTACAAGCACACAAAGTTGAAAAACATGAAACTTTCAAAAAATGTCTACACTTTTGGCCACCACTGTATATATACTTTTGTTCTATGACTATATAGCTGCCAACAAGGATATAAAAAAAATCCAGTAGATTTTACACATAGGGAATTTTATAATAAAAATAGAAAAACTGCAATATTTCAGTTATGATAGGCATTAAAAAGACTTGAAATGTTATGTATTTTGCTTACTCATATTTTCGAATATTAATAGGCATTTATTTCATCAAAGATAGTTCAAAGTTTATTTAAGTTAAAAATAATAAAGATAAACTGAACATTTTAGAGCAAAAAGTGTCTTGAACTGAATGAGGTTTGCTGCCTTATCTATTACTTAATTAAATACTCAAGCAAGCAATAATCTGTGCAAAATTCTATTTCAATAGGGACTTTTTTAGGAAACTACCGCAATTTCGTGGAGAAACGCCGCTCCCTCAAAAATCGACTGACAGAAAAAAGCTTTTCACCGGACACGCCGCGCCGAATTTTTAACAATTAAAGAATTTTGAACTTAACGCAGGTATTGATTAAAGACTTAACACATGCTCTAAATATGCATATGTATATAATTTAAATAGTTAAATAAAAATAAATAAAAGGATATTAAATATTTAAAAAAAATAGAAACAATCCTAGTATATAAAATAGATTTTAATAATTTTCTAAGTAAAATTAAGCATTTTCTAATTTTAAAGTGAAGTAACCATTAAAATATAAATAAAATAATTAATATATCATAAACCATTAAAATAAATATGAAATTTTTTAAAAATAAAACTATTTTACTTTTAAATTAACAATCCAAAATCCTGTTTTAGAAATAAATGATAAATCCAAACAAATTTTGTTCAAAGAAAAACTTAAGAATAATTTATTTAGATATCAAGTATCACTATATATTCATATCACTGCACTTAAAAATTCCTCAAAATCAGAACTCTCTGTATCAGAGCAAATTAGGTTTACTATTTAATTGCTTATTTCGGGTTAATCTCCGTCACTTTCGGTTTCGTTTGTCCCGGGATGATTTCCGCTTTTTTGAAGCCATTTATCACAGTTTCTTTTTCTCTTTTAATTGCTGACAGCTTAAACGCAGCGGTATAATTTCCCCCCTTAATGGGAGGCATGTAAAATGGATAACTTAAATACAAGTTATGTTAAAACAAAACGAAAATAGTGTAAACGAAACAAAAATATTAATAAAACAAAAACGCATGGGAACTGAAGATAAAACGATAAAAAAAAAACAAAAACGTAATAATAATAAGCTGAGGAAGATGATTGAAATCAGACAGAAATACAGTACCGCTCAAAAGTATCAGTACACCTAGAAACTTATAAAAAAATGTCAAAATTCAAAGTGTCATAACTTCTTTAAAAATGATCAAAAATGCTTCTGCTTTATCTCATTTTGAAGCTTAAAATCTCTACTTTTACGTACTTTAATTGTTTTTAATTAATATATTTTGCAACTATGTACAATTACACTCTAAACAATCATAGAAAATTGTATTAATTTTTTGTGAAGTTTGACGCGTATGGGCACAAAGGGGTTAGATATTGTTAATTTTTATTATACCATTGAAAAATTTGGACTTTTAGCTTTCATTTAAAAAAACAAATTCCAAAAAAACATGTTTTTGACAAAGTTATTGTCAAATTAAAAAAAAGTTTTTTTTCTTCAGAATTTAATGATTTTTCAGCAATTATAATGAATTTTAGTGTAATTATAATATGATATGAAAATTTCTTAATTAAAATGAATTAAAATTTAATATTTCTCGATAATATTATTTCATAATTTATTATAACAATTTTAACTTTTTTTTTTGGAAAATATAATAATGAAATAAGAATCAACGTTTACAATTTAATATTTTGAAATTTATTTTTTCGTATTTTTCTCAGAAAAAATTTGAAAACAAAAATGTAATAATGAAAAAATATTTTACATCATATTTTGCTTTCTTCAAAATATCCTCCCCGCGCTTTTATAACTGCAGCACACACTCGAGGCATCCGATCAATCAGCTTTTTTAATGTTATCTTGTCTATTTTTCGCCACTGCTCTTGAAGGACTTTCCACATATGATTTATGCTGGTTAAT